ACTGCTGCTGCTGATGATGATGATGATGTTCATGGTGAGGATGACGATGATGACGATGATGATGCTGATGCTGATGCTGCTGCTGCTGATGATGATGATGATTGTTGTGGTGGTGATGAGGAAGATGATGATGATGATGAGGAGGAGGAGGATGATGATGATGAGGATGAGGATGAGGATGCTGATGATGATGATGGTGGTGGTGGTGGCGGTGCTGCTGCTGATGATCATGATGATGATGGTGGTGGTGATGATGATGAGGAGGAGGAGGAGGATGATGATGAGGAGGAGGAGGAGGCCGTAGTTGTGATGGGGGCGGTAGCGGTGGTAGCCGTGGCGCAGATGTGATTTTCTTTACTTGGTCACGGCGAACAAGACAGCATTGCAGAGGTTTGGTGGTTCCCAAATCAGTGCGTCGTACCTTCACGGTGGGAATCGTGCGGTGGTGTCAGAGAGCCCCCCGAAGATTGCTCGTAGACGGCCCCAGACACAGTCCCAATCTATTGTGAGGACGCGTACTTTCCCTTCCTCGAGGGGACTTTTGCGTCCTTGCCGCTGGGGCTCGTCCTTCGCGTCCTTCGCTGTTTTCGCTGGCCAGCCTCACAGTGCAAATTTTGGGGCTCCGCCTTCCTAGGGTCGTGCGTCCTTACCTTCCGTCCTTGCGATAGATTTCGATTGTAGCCTCAAGGCGTCCATCGATGCCGCTAAACACAGCCCCAAGATGCCTTCATATTTCTATACGAGTCCCTCCAGATGTTTTCAATAGGCTGTCATTTGGCTCAAGCCAACAAGGTCCAAGCCAGTCGCAGCGTGAGCTCTGTTTTATCACAGCTTGAAGCAGATCCCAAATCTTACCGTTTGTCAATGGCAAGCTCTCTCATCTTTGCAATTATCCTCTCACTGGCTGCGACGGCACGCGCCGTGGATGAGAGTTCATGTCGCGCCCAACAGGACGATGGTCCCCTCCTGCAGGCAGGGCTTACCGAGCGGCGCAATGTAACGCAGATGTGGGAGGAGTGGAAAAGCCAAACCCAACATTTGGCTTACATCGGGGTTACGAAGGAAGAAAGCGGCACGCACACGTCCGAGACCAACGCATATGGCGCATGGATGAACGTTACCGTGAAAAGGCGAGATTGCTGCAAGCACGCCCTGCCGTGCACGACACCATATTGCAGCCCGACGGCGCTCCAAGTCTGCTGCGTCGATTGTTACCACTGTGGCTTCTTCAAAATCAAGGGTTGTCTACCTCCGTAGCCATTTTGGCTCAAGACATTGTGGCAACTCTTCAGGAATAGGGAACATTTGGTTTGCGCCTATTGCTGCCAAGCCTTTGTTACTCCGCCGTTGCCGCAATGAACGTCGTGGCGCTTGCGGGAGCGTTCGCCATCCTGCTCGTCGGCCGCGGCTGCGTTGCCGCCGATGACTTAGCCAATATCTCGGAGGAACGCTGCCTGATGGAGGAGGATTCGCACAACTGAAACGCTACGAACGAGGCCGACGGCGTGGGGCTACTCCAGTCACGGGCGTCGGGCCCCAGCGAACCGCAAATCGCGAACGTTTGGAAGGACGCGACTTCGGACCACAAACAATATGAGGAGGCGAGAGTGGAGGGTATACCGATCGATGTCCAGAACCTCAACTCAACCATGCATCGCCAGCACAAACGTCCTGGCGACGTGCATCTCCGTTCCTCGGCGTACTGCACGTTGGAGTGCCCTCTAGCAAACGCTTACTGCTGCGTCAAGGAGCAGGATAACGGGAGAGTTATTGAGACATCGGTGAGATATCAAACTTGCTGCGTTGATCGTTGGGTTGTTCCAGGATATAGGTGCGCCAACCCTAACGACTGCACAAGGGGGTACTGTTGTAAGAGCATGTTGTGTACCGCGTGCTAGCTCAATCGTCCTCTTTTGAATCCCGCTCGGTTTAACATCCTGCCCGCTCGTATGATAACTTGCGCGCTCATTGTAAAGTCGCGTTCGCCGGGTCTGTCCGCCCGGCGCGACCCCAGCGAAGCGAGATTGGCAACGCGAGATGGGGGAAGCGAACCAAAGTGCAACAACAAAAAAAAACAAATCCAGGGTTGCCTACCGGACAATCACTGGTGCGGGGGTGGTTGCCGCCGCGCCTGCGCAGGGCGGTAACATTCCACAGTAGAAGATTTGGAGAGAGCGCGCGGCATGGGCGCTCTGGCGAGCTACGTATTTCTTCCCCTGCTTCTGCCCACTGCTTCTGCTCGTCCTTCTCCTCGTCCATCTCTTACACATTCTCCCCGATTGCCGTTCCTTATCGTTGAGGATCGTGCTCTTTAGTTCGGGGGCGAGATGATGTAGGGGGAGGGGGGCGGGGGTATTAGTTTGGGGGGAAGAGGAGGATACCGAGTGCGGGGGAGCGAGCAACCGAGCAGCCGAATTCGGGCCCTCTTTGCCGGGCCGCTCGTTTTGAAGTCCTGAAGCTGGTTACTTCAGGCTGGCCCGTGTGGCCAGAATGCCACGTT